TGTATAGGGCATCTTTAATAAACGAGGCATATCTGAGACATGTTTATTCTTCTTTGATCGAATTTATTGGGGTGACATTATGAAATTATATAGCTTTCTGGTGAGCAGTTGTGTAATACATCATCTGTATACTATATTGTGTTTCATAAGAAGCTATGAAGGCCCTGGCCAGGTATCTCAGTTGGTTAGAGCGCTGACCCATATGCCAAGGTTGTGGGTTCGATTTCTGGTCAGGGCACATACAAAAATCAACCAATGAATGCATTGATCTCTCTCTATCAAAAATGAATAAATAAATTTTTTTTAAAAAGAAGCTATGAAAATTCCTGGACACATGGAATAAGGAATCTTACACCTATAGTTAAAGAGCAGTTTGCAGCCACCTAGTAAGTCCCATCTTCCCTAAACCAAGGACACTTAAGGGTAAATGGTTTACACTTCTCCTCCCCAACCAGAGGGTAAATAGCTTAAATCATCCTAAGTCAGGGGAGTGGGGGGGGCAGATAATAGAAATCCAATTAAGAGAATAAAGCTCATTTTGGTGCATCAGCATAAAGCTAGTGAATATTCTACTTCCACCCATAAGCTCTCCCCAAAACACTCACCCTTTCAAACCTCTGAAAATGAAGCCCCCAGGGACCTTGCCCATGCCATTCTCTTCCCCCTCTATTCACCGCACCCCTGGGGACATATCCCCTAACCTCTAAGGGACCCCAGGAGACTTGCAACCAGGGGAGCAATGGACAGCAGCACCTCATCCTGGACCTGTCTCCAAGGTCCCCTTTCCCCCCTTTTCTCTGACTTCCCGGAAAGCCAAAGCAGCCCAGGCTAGGCTCTCCTGCTGGTTCTTTATGCCCTTCCCTGTGTCACTGCCCTCAGTAGGTTTTTGGTGAGGTCAGTAAATTCTGTGTTTTTTTTTTAAGATCTTTTTAAACAACAGTACTTTATTGAATACATTTTATTCACAGAAAAATAAGCTTTAATCTGTGACATCCAGATTATGCAGTGGAAAGTAATTTTCTTAGTTTTCCATACTGATGGAAAGGTTTCTCCTATATGGGAAAGAAGCCATAAAATTATGCTCACAAATATAGTACTCTATCTCAAAACATTTCACAGGATTGAGGTCAATAAATTCTTGCCTGCTTTTCTCCACTTTGTCACTTGATGGAAATCTTTCCCTCAAGGAAACAAGAACCTAGGTTTCCTCTCCCAGTAATATGTTCGCCACCTCGTTCTTAGTCTTATTTATACTTGAATTTGCTAGCAATGAATAAACTGGCTAGGGCTGGGCTCCCTTTTGTTTTAAAAATATTTTTTAGCCCTACCCAGTTTGCCTCAGTGGATAGAGCATCAGTCTGCAGACTGAAGGGTCCCTGGTTCAATTCCTGTCCAGGGCAGGTACCTTGGTTTGAGGGTCCTCTCTGGCCAGGCCCCTGGTCAGGAGGTGTGCAGAAAGCAGCCTATCAATGATTCTCATCATTGATGTTTCTATCTCTCTCTCCCTCTCCATTCCTCACTGAAATCAATAAAAATATATAAATAATAATAATAATAATAATAATATAAGAGTTAGAGGTAGAATGGAAGTAGTGGATTTTGACAGGAGGAAATGAAATATGATAGTGGTTGAAATATAAGAGACGGCTGCCGTCCAATGGTATTTTACTTAGGTTATTTTCCTTTTTCATGACTCATCATCTACAGATGTGAATTTCTTTGGGAAACAAAATATACATAAAATCTGTCATCTACCCTCCCATCTTCATATGCTTGAACGTTTTCATTGGTTTTTAAAGAGAGAGAATGGGAGAGGAATAGAGAGACTTTGATGAGAAACATCATTGAATATCTGCCTCCTGCACTCCCTCCACTGGGGATCCAGCCTGAGACCTGGGCATGTGCCCTAACCTGGAATCCCACCAGTGACCTCTTGGTTCATGGCTTGATACTTAACCACTGAGCAACACTGGGCAGGCAAAACTTGCATTTTAAAATATGGCTCAGATAAGATTTTTTTGTTTGTTTGTTTGTTAAATATATTTTATTGACTTTTTACAGAGAGGAAGGGAGAGAGATAGAGAGTTAGAAACATCGATGAGAGAGAAACATCGATCAGCTGCCTCCTGCACACCACCCACTGGGGATGTGCCCGCAACCCAGGTACA